CGGAGGCAGAAAGAGATCTTGGAGTCATTATTGACTCCAAGATGAACATGGGCCGACAATGCGAGGTCATGGTTGGCAGGGCTAACCGGACCTTGTCGTGCATCCACAGGTGCATCTCGAGTAGAGCCAAGGAGGTGATCCTCCCCCTCTATGCGACGCTGGTCAGGCCACAGCTGGAGTATTGTGTCCAGTTCTGTGCGCCCCATTTCAAGAGGGATGTGGACAACATGGAGAGGGTCCAGAGGAGGGCCACCCGCATGATCCGGGGACAACAGGGCAGACCCTACAGTGAGAGACTGCGGGACCTGAACCTATTCAGCCTCCACAAGAGAAGGCTGAGGGGGGACCTGGTGACCGTCTATAAACTCACTAGGGGGGACCAGAAGGGTTTGGGGGAGACGCTGTTTCCCCTAGCGCCCGCTGGCATAACAAGGAGTAATGGGCACAAGTTGATGGAGAGGAGGTATAGATTGGACATCCGCAAGAACTACTTCACAGTTAGGGCGGCTAGGAGCTGGAACCAACTTCCAAGGGAAGTGGTGCTGGCCCCTACCCTGGGGGTCTTTAAGAAGAGGCTGGATGCCTACCTGGCTGGACTCATTTGAGTCCCGTTTCTTGTTTTGGGGTTTTGTTGTTCTCCCGCCCTGGCGGGGGGTCGGGCTAGAAGATCTACTAGGTCCCTTCCGACCCTTAATCTATGAAACTATGAACTGGAGCTGCCATTAATATTACTGGGAATTGTGGGTGCAGCAAAGGGAGTGAATGTCCATCTGCAGGATGGTGGAGGTGTATCTGATAAGGGAGCTTGTGGCTTGTTTCTTACCCTCTTGTTGGACATTTTCTTGCTTTTCTGGTATTCCCTGGTGAGGAGGTTTGGGTCTTGATTAACAAGGTTTTTTCTTTTCCATCTGGGGGGTGCCTTTCACTACAATCACAGTCTGAGAAGTGTGCGGGTGAGAGTCCTATGTACTGTGTTAGACGAGGATGCAAGGAGACGCTGAGACGCTAGAAGGTGCATGTTAGTGTGAATGGTCAGTGCCATCCTAAACATGTGCTGTGTGGGATGTGGCGTTAGGGTAAGGATTATGGTAGATAATCCCAGGACTTTAAAAGCTCAGTTAAGGCCTCTTCCGCCTCTACTCCCTGCTCAGAGTTTCATGGGCAAAGTGTTGTATAGCACAGGCCATGCCATTCCCTGCTGTGAAGGAAGAAGCTGCTGGTACTTCTCAAGGATTGCAGTTCCTGGATTCTGCTGGGATTTCTTTTTGTCCTAATGTCATTTTGATTTAAGCAGTCTTGTTCCCTCTGATTTGCTAGGAAGGATTCCCGACCCCCACTCGTATATCCGAGGTCAAAACTGCCTGGGTGTTTGGGTATTTGCTGCTAGTCTTGTCCCGCAGCCTTCTCCTGGCGTGGTGTATGTGGGCGGCGATATGGGGAAAAGGGAACTGAACCTTCTTTTCTTTGAGTAGCTCCAGCGCTTGCATTTGCCCTTCAGGTGTTTAATCTTCCCAGTTCTTGTCTGCTTGATTGCTGCCATTCTTAGGTTTCTGCTGACTACTTTGGTACTTATTGCCCTCCTTGAATTTCCTTGATTTAAACTAAGGAAAGTGATCTTAGAGCAAATCTGAAGGGGCACAGTGTAGAAGTCCAAATCACACAGATGGTGCCACTGGTTTCTCCTGGCAGAAGGGATGGAAAGCTTTGGTGTACCAGATCTCTCTGCTGCTGAAGTGAAATATCTGTCCCGCAGAGTGTATAGGAGCGTCTGGCTCTCTTTCCCTGCTGGGAATAGTTTTGAGTTGGATACTAATGATACATGCAGTCTTTTTAAGCGTGTGATCTCTTCTTGAAATGGGAAAGATTTCATAGATTGTATGGGGCTGGAAGGGACTTTGCAGATCATTGGGTTCAGCCTCCCCACTCCAGGCAGGAAGACAACTGGGGTCAAGTGACCCCAGCAAGGTGACTGTCCAGTTTCCTCTTGAAAACCTCCAGGGCAGATGACTGCACCACCTCTGGAGGGAGTTTATTCCACAGTCTGGACACCCTGACTGAAGGAGTTTTTCCTGGTATTGAGCCTGAAGCGGTCTTCCAGGAGTTTGTATCCATTGGTCCTGGTCTTCCCCAGGGGTGCCCTGGTGAACAGTTGTTCACTGAGCTCCTGATGCACTCCTCTGATATAGCGGTAAGCCGCCATCGAGTCCCCTCTCAACCTTCTCTTCTGTAGGCTAAAGAGGCCCAGGTCCCTCAGCCTCTCCTCGTGTGGCTTGTCTTGCAAGTCCCTGATCAGACAGGTGGCTCTTCTCTGGACCCTCTCAAGTTTTTCCACGTCCTTGTTGAAGTGCAGTGCCCAGATGCAGTACTCCAGCTCCAGTTTCTGGGATCCCAGAAGTCATTTGAGAGTCCTGCCCCATCCGCCCATAAGACATGGGGAAGGTGGCTGTGACTTCTGAACCTGTTTAACACCTACAGCTCAGGAGACAATGGAGTTCCCTTTCAAGAGAGTTAATTCTGTCCATTTCTGCAACATTGCTTCAGAAGAGCAACGAAGAATTTTTCCAGCTGTTTTGGTTGGTTTAATAAAAGATACCAGACTTACCCAAAGAACTTTTGTCTGCCTGTGTCCTTAGACCAACACAGCTACAACCTACAGACAAGCTGACACGTCAGGATGCTCTGCCATTTCTGACACTTGAAGGTTGCAACTCAGTGGTAGTGAAAGGTGCTAGACTGTCTGCTGTAAAGATGGAAACTCTTTCTACCCCAAGCAGTTGGAGCGAGGGCAATAATTTCCTTCACTTTGGCTGTGCTTCGTGCCCACCTTACAGAGATTCTTAATAAGAGTATCAGTGTGGTCGGTTTTTGATGCAGAAACTGTCTGCGACCTGGCAAGTTCACTTCAGTTGGTGTAAGGCTGCTTTGTTGTTGCTGAGCTGGGTTGGATTCAAATCCCAAATGAGCAGCTCCGTGACCCCGTTGTGATCAGTGGACAGGGCGCGTAGCTTGGATCCTAGCTCCTGTGGTTCTAGCCCTGGCTCTGCAAGTGTGCTGTGTGACCTGGAGAATGTTTCCTCCAAAAGGAGGAAAATGCTGCGTATCGACCCTTAATGCTTCAACAGCTATGGATGTGATTGCGTTCTCCATAGCCATTAAGTTGTTCCCCCACCCCTTTTCTCCCCTTCCTTGTATGTTGTATGTGCAGACTTCTCTTCACCCTGCATTAACTTACCTGCTTCACTGGTGCTCACCTTCTTTCACTATGGCTGCTTCCCTCAGCAGCCGCTTAGCTTGTGCTGTTTGACTTGGCTAAACCTGTCTTTGGACAGCGAGGACCTGCTTCTTCCACCCCATTCTCTTCTAAATGTTGCTTATTTCTGCATGTGGCAACTGTTACTTCTTACTTCCTTGGGGTTTTTTTGTCTTTGAGTCACTACTGCAGAGGCTCGGTCCCCAGTTACCTTTCAGCCCCCAACCCCCAGTCTCTCCCGATGCATTTCATATGGCTGAACAATGATGCCGTCAAGTACTGCATAAAACAAAGGGGAATTTGCATGTGTGGTTTTTATAATCCCTAGAATATGATTTAGCACTTTAATAGGATTTAAACGCTTGTTAAATCCAACCAGCTTTGCAGCTTTTTTTTTTTTGGAAAAATGGTGCAAAATAATGAAACTTTCCTGTTAATTGAAGCTCGGAAAATGCTCCTCTCAAAAAAGCAAAGTAGAAATGACTTTGGCCAAGTCTTAGAACTGTACTCTTACCTCTAGCTAGGTCAGCAGCTATTTAAAAACTACTAACTTTCTGCTGCGGTTCACTTTTATGTGGAAGTACTGGAGAAAGTTAAAGTTAATACAACTTGTGCGAGTAAGATTTTTTGGGGGTCATTGTGGTACTTCATTGGACAAGTGTTTCAAAGGTCTTAAACTGAAATTCCTCCAATATGCAGTAGTAAAACTAGAAAGCTTAGGTGAGCTCAATTTGAAAGGAGATTGGTTTAAATCGTGGAAGTGTTTGCATATTTTGCACCTGCAAGTGAAATGTGTGTTGGATTACTTGCCTATAAATAGTTATTCTGCACTGCTGTTTTTAACTTGACAGATGCTGCATGCATTAATGGCTCAAGCTTTCACTTTAGAGGTACTTACTTGTGGCTTGGCCATTTTTTTCTTCCAGCTGGATTGTGAGGCCTTTAACAGAAGAGGGCTGGTTTAGCACAGCGATCTAACTCTCACTGGTCACTACATTTCTTACATTCCCGTTTCTGCATGCGGTAACTTATGCACATTGCACCCCTTTTCTACAATGATCAGCTTACACATTTCAGCATTGTGCAAGTGGCATAGCTGCTATAAATAATCAAAACCTCATCTGAAGGGTGGATAGGCATCTAAACAATTGAAGTTTAAATTTAAAACAATGACAATTAAATGTTTATAGATATTGTATATCTATAATATATAAAATAATATATAAAATGATGGCAATTAAATGCTTATAGATGGAATTAATACTTCAGTTTGCTGGTTACATTTTTTATTGTTGTTATGGTGCCCATAGTGTCGGCTGCTTCAGATGGATAAGATGCTCCGTGCCTACAAGAGATGGCAAAGTAAATGGCAACCCGGAAAAAAGCTGGAACTTTTACAATTATGAATATGATCTTTTGCTTTTCGTATACGTAAATGCAGTCTGTGTAAAGCGACTACATCCTGGAGCAAAAGTCAAGGGTCCATTTGAATGTTCTCCGGTTTCCCAGGGGCTTTTACTGGAAACTGAGAACTCAGCTGACCAAAGGTTACCTGGCCCTGATAAATGATAGCAAGGATGGGACCATAATATTGCCCTGGGGTCTGTTAAAATAGGATTTTTTTTTAGCATCCCCAGCTCTTGTTGTTTGTCTTGTTTCGCATTTAAACTTCAATGGTTTTGAGAAATGAGGCACTGTTCTGCTCAGGTCTCCTGTGTCCTGAAACTGTGGCCTCTTTGTGATCCTTCAGAACAACGACAATGAGACAGCACTGCACTGCGCTGCTCAGTACGGCCACACAGAAGTGGTGAAGGTCCTCCTGGAGGAACTGACTGACCCCACCATGAGGAACAACAAGTTCGAGACCCCTCTGGACCTCGCTGCACTCTATGGGAGGCTGGAGGTTGTGAAGATGCTGCTGAATGCTCACCCCAATCTCTTAAGCTGCAACACTAAGAAACACACTCCCCTGCACCTGGCAGCTAGAAACGGCCATAAAGCTGTCGTCCGTGTCCTCCTGGATGCTGGCATGGACAGCAACTATCAGGTATTGTGTCGGTCTGCGTAAAGCTGATACCTGCTAGAAGGGGGGGCAGATTGTCACTCTGGGAGACTGAAATCCATAGAACAGGTGAAGTTGTTGTGGCAGGCCTGTCTTCTCCTTACCTTTTGTCCTGACCCAGTTGAGGACTGCTCTCACTGTGGCCAGTCCATTCAGTCCTTGCTTGCTGTGGGAAGTTTCTCAAGGGAATGGGTGAACTCAGGAGTGTGGTGTGGTGTTGGGTAAATGCCCACTTGTTAATTGGACATAAAACGCCAGCAAGCATCCAGTGGTAGTTTCACCTACGAGAAGGTTGGCCTAAACGTGAAAGTTGCTCTGTTACCCATCTCCTTGAGACATCTAGCTTGTCGTAAGTCTGTAACCATTGTTCTTGGCAGAGGATGTATAGTAGAGGACTTGAGTATTACTCCACCCAGATGTGGAGAGGAGAGAACTCTTTTTTTTTTACACCACACTGCTCGCTACAAATCGTTGATGGAAGCAATAAATTCTTTCCCTTGCCTCCCTTCTCTGTCCTTCCCCAGGACAATATCTGTCTAAGCTTTAGGGAGTTTTTACTTGGCTTAGAAGACTGAGACCAAAACTATCATCTCCTAGAGCAGGGGCGGGCAATTAGTTTGGGCAGAGGGCTGCTTACTGAGATTTGGCAAGCCATCAAGGGCAGCATGACAGGCAGCCAGGGGCAGATAAGTATTAATTTTCTAAATTTTGGGGGGGCCCCACGGGCCGGATAGAATGGCCTGGCAGGCCACATCTGGCCCCTGGGCCGCATTTTGCCCACCCCGTCGTAGAGTCTCGGTGCTTCAGCACAGCATCTTGGGTGATTTTTGAGCCTAGCCCTTGCAGGAGTTAGTTGCAAGGACCCTTGTCCTTGTGTGGTACAATTACTTGATTTTCTGATCTGTAAAACCCTGACCGGTTCTTGGATCACTGTTGGCAATCTGTCCTCATTCTATCTTCATTTCATTTGCAGACTGAGAAAGGGAGTGCTCTGCATGAGGCTGCTTTGTTTGGCAAGACAGACGTGGTACAAATCCTGCTGGCCACAGGTGAGAGGGCAATAACACTCTTTGACATAACATGGAAAATGCTTCACCAGCACCTTTAAAGAACTGTCTTTATTGTGGCAATGTTTTCTCAGCTATTTACCTAATTATCACTCCTGTCAATGATCCATGGAAGAGGTATTGCCCAGGGTAGTTGGGTTTAAATCCCTTTCTTTAACTCAGCCTTTGAGATGACCAGAAGAGGGACCTAAACAATGTCTCCATTAAAAGAAGCTGGCTTTGCAAGCATTCTGAAAATGCTATCTCACTCTGCTTATCTGGATGTCTCTTGCTGTAGGTATTGATGTGAATATAAAGGATAACAGAAGCCTGACAGCTCTGGATATTGTGAAGGAGCTACCATCTCAGAAAAGCCAACAAATAGCTGCTCTGATTGAAGGTAAATTCTATGTCTTTGTTTATGGAGAGGAGGTAGCTGTTCTGATCAGGCATCTCTTGCATAAATCTGTGTGGTTGCTACGTTATGATTTTAGCCATATGGCTATTTCTACAAGAGTTGGGCTGCTAACTTTGTCATATTAGCTGAACGTCCACTTAGGTAGCCTCTTTGTTTCCTTTCAGTTGGATATGAACTTCCCCATTTCCTGCTTGCGTCTGTTGCTTGTTAATCCTTAGGGTTTATTTAGAGAGAGAGAGATGTTCAGAGCACCTTGCAAATATTCATTAAATATCCTACCGCTCCTGGGGTTGGAAAGCATCTTCCCCATTTTAATGATGGAAGAACAGACTGTTTAACTGAAAGTTTCCATATGTGAATGCCTGAAGTTTTACCACCTTAAGTAACATAATTGAGACCTCTGTGCAAGTGTCTGAATTTGTGCATTTGAGCTTGATATTTCTGGTCTGGTTCATCTACCCAGGATTGCAGATTCATAATTAGAATTCAGGTCCCTTGACTCTTGTGCTAGTCTACAATATGACACTGGCTTGTTAAACAAAATGTGCTATAACAAGTTCAGAGTGGTTGAAAGAGAAGTCTGTTGCTTTTTTGAGATCTGAGATGCTATATATATTAGTGCATTTTGACTTTTTGAGGCATAATAAGCAGCCAAGCAGCTTTCAGAATAGCCACTTAAGTTCCAGGCCTCAAAGGGAGAAGGTAGCACGCACACAGCATGTGTGGTGCCAAACCAGGGAAGAGGACTGGCAGGACTACCTGTATTAACTGTATGGCAGTTTATCTGTGTGTTAGATGCTCACTATCTGAATGTTGCTTCTTCCCCACCTTTTTGCGTAGATTACACAACTGGAAAGCAGAGTGCAAAAGCTGCAGAAAAGATTCCCCAAGCACCTGTAATTACTGCCTCCGAACCTGCATCCCGGATGCCACAAGGTGTGCTGCTCTTGAAGGACCTGAGTTCCAATTAGGTGTTGCGCTTGCTGGTAATTGTAGTGTTCTGAGAACAGAGAAGGCAGGGGTCAGTTTGTTGTAGTAAATCCAAAACCCCAGCTCTATTTTGTTTGTTGGGTCCAGTCAGAAAATAGTGATTCTCACCCTCTGGCTCTTTAAACCTTGAATTGGGTAATATGTCTCTTATCTCTAAATGGTCAGGGGGGTTGGGCCTCTCAATCTGGAGGGGACTGGCGTATTGGCATTAAAATTTTGCCATTTGGGATGTCAGTTTCTGTGCTGCTTACCCAAATGGTAGCATGTAAAGTAATGAGGACCATAAGGTTTCAAAATGAAACGAAGGCAAAAGCAGCTTTTCTGTCTCGGGGAGTAGCCTCTTGAGTTAGAACACTCTTTACATGGATGTGCTTTGTGAAATCTAGGCAGAAATGCCCATAGTTCAGAATCTCTTCTGATTCTAGGGCCCTTTCCATCATCTGGTTCTAGTCCTGATTTATCTGGCCCCTACAGCTGCCTGCTTGGATTTTGCAACTCTTCATAGGCATGACATGTTTTTCTCTTTCTACTCTCCAGGTGATGTGGAAAAAGCAGTGACAGAACTGATCATAGATTTTGATGTGAACCCAGAAGAGGAGTGTCCTTATGAAGCTTTATACAATGCAACATCTTGCCACTCGTTGGACAGCCTCGCCAGCGGGAGGTCTTCGGACAGAGACTCTGTGAATAAGGAAGTGGAGGCAACTGGTCTTAAAGCATCAGGAGTCAGGCCTTTATGTAGCCATGTATGTACTTATGTTTCGTAGTTTCATGGTTTGTAGGGTCGGAAGGGACCTGAGCAGATCATCAAGTCCGACCCCCTGCCTTGGCAGGAAAGAGTACTCCCTAGGGAGTATAGATGGGGGGTTATCTCTACTCCCTTGCTCTCTCGTGGTCTTGCTACAGACTGTTGACCACCAAGCTGTACAATTGCTGTAAGTTCTTAGATCTGCCACTAGGTTTATTAGCTCCTGCTGAGTTGTGTATGCTGCCCCTGCAGCATTCTCTGCGTGTAACCATTGCTCTTTGTTTCGCCATTTGGTTCAGTTCTCCATCCCGTGTGTTACTTGGCACCTCTGTCCACTTTATTTTGTCAGGCCTACTTTTGCATAAGGGTTAACAGCTTGGCTTTAAAGAAACTGGAAGTGTAGCCAGATTCTTCTGTGTGGCATTTTTTCCCTTCCTTTTCACCCACTACCTTCCCCAAAAGAAATCTCTAATGCGTTCATCTCAAAACATCCAGTGGTAACATGCATGAAGCTGATCCGCCCAAGTGCTTCAGCTGTTGTGATGAGAGTTGGCAGCAATTTTCTGCCTGTCATTTGCTGGCAAAATCCTGCAGGGGGCGCTTAAGGCCTTGGAAGATAATGGCGTGATTGCTGGAACAGCCTCCAAAAGAAATCATCCCCACTAACCTTCTGTCAGTAGCATCTGCTAGGTCTTTAACTTGTGGCAACACTTTGCTGAGGGGCAGATGGGATGCTAGGCTCTCAGCATGCTTTCTCAGCCCTGGTGTGCTTTGGGGCTGAATTTTTCATAGACTGTATTTTGTTGGGTTGTTTTGAAGCAGACAAAAGGAAAAGCAGTAATGCCTGCCTCACTTGCTAGAGTATTCTGAAAGCCTTCTCTTCTTCCAAAAAAGAGAACCACTCTCACCTCTTTCCTGTAGTGTGTCAACCACTCCAGCATAGATGAGACAAAGAACCTAAAAACGTTCAGGAAAATTTTCAGCCAGGTTGATGTTTATTGCAAAGTATGCAATACTGAAAGCAAAACCCTACCAAGAACCAAACCTAGAGGTGGATTAGGTCTATATATAGTGCTTTGAGAGAAGCCAAATCCTGCTGAGCCCACAATAAGAGGTCAGAGGTACTAAGTGAGCTGTGATGGAAAGCAGGGAAGGAAAGAGCAACTGCTCCAGAAACATGCATAATTTCCCCCAAAATCTGTTTGGCATTTGGAGCAAATGCTTGAGCAACGTAGCAGCTGCACTTGCCATTAGGTGGTGCTGCTGCAGTGAGCACAAGGAGGTTTGCTAGACCAGTTGGGATCTGGTGCAGGTACCGTAGTATAAGGTTGGGTTTCAGAGCTTTCACTGAAAGTTGTCACTTTGGCTGTCCCAAGTCTCCCTAAAATATCTCTTGAACACAGAGCTCCTGGAATGTATTCCCTTCTGCTAACTTAACAGAGTGATCTGGGTCAACTCTTTAAACATGCTCTCCCTTCTCTCCGAGCTTGTAACATCACGGTGAACTCACCCTTAAGGTATGTCCACACTGAACTTTGCAGTGCTTTGTAGACAGACCCATGCTAGCCTTGGTACTGGAAGCAGTCGATCTACCTTAGCAAGGTGCTTCACCTAGACTATATTATTCTGATAAGAAACTTGTTTAGAGTTCACGTTCCTGTCCTTGCACAATGTATGTGTATCTGGGCCCAGGTGCCAGTAGCAGTCTAGGCAGCATGGCTAGACTGCAACTGTTCTTGAAATAGCTCAAGTACGTATATGGCGCACACCCTGAGGGGGAGCCAAAAGGAATTGGTCTCAAACAAAGCCATTGATGGTATCCTTCTAAACCGCAGAGAGAGCGTCCGCCCCCTCCTGCCAAGCCACCCCCGGATGAAGAGGAGGAGCATGCGGAGAAGCTGGGTCACAGCACTTCCTGTGAGGTAGGCAGGCCTTGGTCCTGGAGCTTTTCATGGAGGTGGGGACATGCATGGTTTAAAGATGAGCTTCCAGTGGTTCTGGAGGAGCTCAATCTGGTGTTCATGAGTTTCTTGAGTGTTACATTGCTACTAGTATTTTAACATGAGAATATCTTGTACTTTAATCTTGACCTGTCCTAGGCCGGGAATCCTCATAGGAAGAAACTTTGAATCGTGGTGATGGTTTTGTGGTCATCTGCTGTAATGATCCCTTCAAATGCAATTTCACTTAAGGCTGAAACATGAAAGGATGCTGTGGCTAGTGAGAGTCAGAAGTCTGGTGAATTAATTTCAGCTGAGCATGTGGACTGGCATGTGCTAGGGACACCTCCTTCTCTAGAGATCTTGTCTGTGCAAATGTTCTTGCCATGCAGAACTCAGACATTTTACATGACTCTCTTGCTTCCTGCCTCCATCAGTTCCCACCTCATATGCTTCAATTAAAGTAGGAATAACAGTCGCACCCTTTCTCCATGTATGATTATCCAGTAAGGATCTTGAGGAGAAGTTACCTCCTTGCTGTTTTAGAAATCATATATTTCTGCAAGTAAGATGAGTGTAAACAATACACCTGGACGTTTCTCTTGCCCTCCCTCCCCTAGAACAGGTTTTTAATTCATCAGATGATTTGCTTGGAATATTTTTCAGCTGATTAGCGTGAGCATTTATCTACAGGTGATAAATTTGATCTACTGTTTTCCAAGGCACAAACCTACTTAGTGTCAGTAAAAATTGTTTGCATTAATAGAGGTGGTATCTTAAACATGAATGGAATTGCATGCAATACACCTAGGGATACTGTGAGTTAGAATCAAGATGTGAGGCTATTTAAGGAACAGTCTCTTGTACAGGTTTTACTGTCATTACAATAATACTGCCCAGTTATCTTTGTAGTCCTTCATAGGGCTGTTACTGGCGGGGGGGCTGGGAACCAGTATGAAAAGTCACAGCATAGCTAGAAAGTGGGAAACTGTGTTTGTAAAGATAAGCATGGTAGCAAGTGGGGTGATGTATCATTTAAAGCTCCTCCCAAGTATCTTGCTCATATTTCATTACAAAACACCTGCTGTTGTTCCCTCCATTCAAGGTTATGAGGAAACATGATCTGTTAGGGGAAATCTTGCTGGCAAATAGATGTGTGCGCAGAGTGACTCCTTTGGGGATATCTTGATTTGCAACCAATTGCGTTGATATTGGTTACATGCACTGTCTGTATTGTAGCTGCCTGGTATTGACTACTCTAGATAGGATGATTAAACAGTTTGAGTTTCAGGTTGTTTCTGGCTCTCCATATATCCCGCTTCCTCAGAAAGTACCTTTTTCGGGCTGAAATTTTTCCGTGATTGGTCTCTGTCTAAAGACTAATTTTTGGAGAGGAGGGAGGGATGAATTTGAGCAGGACCCTGTTTTGGAGTTGAGAGCAAAGAATGCAATATTCCCATCGAGATGGAACCCAGTGATGGCTGACAATGATACTTGGCATTTAACTCATCCCCATTAGAGAGTGCTCACAAATAGGTTAAAAACAAATATATTTAATAAGGGTGCGCTGATAGAGACTTTTCGGGCCGGTACCGATGGCTGATTTTTAACGAGCCATAATGGCCAATACCGATCCAATTCCCAATATGCAGCCTGGCAGCTTGGTGACCAGCGTTGGGGGGGTAAGTGTGGTGTGGGGGGAGAGAAGGGGTGCAGGGAGGGGCAGATCAAGGCCCCAGTAGTGAGGGAGGGAGTAGGGCTGGGTCACAGCTCCTTCGGAAGGTGTGGGGAGGGGGGGTGGCTCCTGCCACTGAATGCATCCCAAGAGGGCATAGGGGCATGTGCCGCCTGGATCTGCGTGTGGGGCAGTGTGGGCTGCTGCTGCGGGCTGAGGCTAGGGCTGTACCAGGCTTTTCCTGGTGGTAGGGCTGAGCCGGGCTGAGCTTGGGGCAGGAGGTGGCGATGCTGGGATGGGGGCTACAGGGGTGGGGGGGCTGCAGCCACCCCAAAATTCACCATAGCTTCTCCTCCTAGCGCCGCCATCTCCTGCCCCAAGCGCAGCCCAGCCCTGGCCCCATCCCGCAGCAGCAGCCCACCATGCCCTGCACACAGATCCAGGGGGCACGCACCCCTATGCCCTCCTCGGGTGCATGCGGTGGCAGGAGCCACCTCTCACCCCCCACACCCTCTGGAGAAGCCACTTGTGGCTCCATCCCATGCCCTGACCTGGAAGAGCATCTCCTACCCCTGGCTCAGCCACAGCATCCCTCACCACTGGGACCTTGATCTGCCCTTGCAATGTTACCTAACG